CTCTAGGAGGTGGATCAAAAAAGATCTTGCTGTGATTTATGTCAAAGAGTGTTCTTCCTATGTTTTCCTCTGAGAGTTGTATAGTGTCTAGTCTTACATTTAGGTCTCTAATTCATTTTGAGTTTATCTTTGTTTATGGTGTTAGGGAGTGTTCTAATTTCATTCTTTTCCATGTAGCTGTCCAGTTTCCCCAGCACCACGTATTGAAGAGACTGTCTTTTCTCCATTGTATATCCTTGCCTCCTTTGTCATAGATTAGTTGACCATACATGCGTGGGTTTATCTCTGGGCTTTCTATCTTGTTCCATTGATTTATATTTCTGTTTTTGTGCCAGTACCACGTTGTCTTGATTACTGTAGCTTTGTAGTGTAGTCTGAAGTCAGGGAGTCTGATTCCTCCAGCTCCATTTTTTTCCCTCAAGACTGCTTTGGTTTTTCGGCGTCTTTTGTGTCTCCATGCAAATATTAATATTTTTTGTTCTAGTTCTGTAAAAAATGCCATTGGTAGTTTGATAGGGATTGCATTGAATATGTAGATTGCTTTGGGTAGTATAGTCATTTTCACAGTATTGATTCTTCCAATCCAAGAACATGGTATATCTCTCCATCTGTTGGTATCATCTTTAATTTCTTTCATCAGTGTCTTATAGTTTTCTGCATACAGGTCTTTTGTCTCCCTAGGTAGGTTTATTCCTAGGTATTTTATTCTTTTGGTTACAATGGTAAATGGGAGAGTTTCCTTAATTTCTCTTTCAGATTTTTCATCATTAGTGTATAGGAATGCAGGAGATTTCTGTGCATTAATTTTGTACCCTGCATTTTTACCAAATTCACTGATTAGCTCTAGTCGTTTTCTGGCGGCATCTTTAGGATTCTCTATGTATAGTATCATGTCATCTGCAAGCAGTGACAGTTTTACTTCTTTTCCAATTTGGTTTCCTTTTATTTCTTTTTCTTCTCTGATTGCTGTGGCTATGACTTCCCAAACTATGTTGAATAATAGCAGTGAGAGTAGACAACCTTGTCTTGTTCCTGATCTTAGAGGAAATGCTTTCAGTTTTTCACCATTGAGAATGATGTTTGCTGTGGGTTTGTCATATATGGCCTTTATTATGTTGAGGTAGGTTCCCTCTATGCCCACTTTCTGGAGAGTTTTTATCATAAATGGGTGTCGAATTTTGTCAAAAGCTTTTTCTGCATCTATTGAGATGATCATATGGTTTTTCTTCTTCAATTTGTTAATCTGGTGTATCACATTGATTGATTTGCATATATTGGAGAATCCTTGCACCCCTGGGATAAACCCCACTTGATCATGGTGTATGATCCTTTTGTGTTGTTGGATTCTGTTTGCTAGTATTTTGTTGAGGACGTTTGCATCTGTATTCATCGGTGATATTGGTCTGTAATTTTCTTTTATTGTATTATCTCTGTCTGGTTTTGATATCAGGGTGATGGTGGCCTCATAGAATGAGTTTGGGAGTGTTCTTTCCTCTGCAATTTTTGGAAGACTTTGAGAAGGATGGGTGTTTGGTCTTCTCTAAATGTTTGATAGAATTCACCTGTGAAGCCATCTGGTCCTGGGCTTTTGTTTTTTGGAAGATTTTAAATCACAGTTTCAATTTCATTATTTGTGTTTCATTTGTTCATATTTGCTGTTTCTTCCTGGTTCAGTCTTGGAAGGTTATACCTTTCTAAGAATTTGTCCATTTCTTCCAGCCAACTTTTTACTTTAATCTTATTAATTTCCAAGACTACCTCAGTGACTTTGTGGATGAGTTAATTAAGGTTAATTATTTGATTTCAATTCTAATGGTCTTTACCTTTACATTAATTCAGTATCTGACACATATAGCCACATCTTGAAATATATCAGAACCTAGCACTATACTAGATGTGAAATATTAAACTTCAATTCATCACTCTAACTATGACAACATAGCTCTCCTTCCAACTCTGTAAAACTAATATAGCTACTCTTTGACCTTAGGAAACATTTAGGCCCTGGACCATTGTATTTCCTTCTAATCTGTCCCCTTCTTTCTAGATTCACTTTCATCCCTTCCAACCCTAGATTTCAAAGTCTGTCATTTCAATCACTCTGTCACTATCACTCTGCCTTTCTTCCTCCTTGCCCTTCAGTTGCAACCCCTTATAAAAATCTTAACTTTGGATTGATTTAACAGTTTTACCTCTGTGCTTTTTCACAGGTGAAGCCTACTGAAAAAAGAAGTAACTGAAAGTTTTTCTCATGTTTAAAATACCTCTTTTTGATATCACATCCCTTTTTAGTTATACCTGAGTCCCAAACTTCTGGTGAAAATGGAACTGCTTTATAGAGGAATAAACATTTATTGCCATCACTTCAGTACATGTTCATTCCTTGTTTTTTCCCAGGATGAATGATGACCTATAAAATGAACCCTTTTTACTTCATCTTACTTGTCACTGTTGGTCATTCTCTCTTTTAAGCAAGAAATACCTCCTTGGCTTCTGTGACTTTATTTTCTCCTGGATTCCATCCTATTTCCTAGGTTTTCCTTCTTAGTTTCCTTTGCAGGCTTATGTTTTTCTGCCCATTCCTTAAATAGTCACATTTTCTGAGGCTGCTTTATCAACCCTGGTTCTTTTTACTTTTCACACTTACCAGGTTACTTAAGCCACATTCATGTTAGTCAGTTAACACTTACATGTTTTATTTGTAGCCCTAAATTCTGCCTTGAACTCAAGACCCATAAATCCAGCTGCTTTCTGAAAATCTCACTTACACATCTTACAGGAGTTTTGAGCTCTGTGTGATTTAAAATGACCTAGTAATTTTCACCTCAAATCTGCTTCTCAACTGTATTCTCTCTTTAAATGAACGGCATGAAAATTTCCTCATTCATGGAAGCTAGAAACATAGGAGTCATCCCTGACTCCTGTCTCTCACTCAGTCTCCATATCCAGTCATTCCTAGCGTCCTGTAGATACAACTGTTCTACTTCTGTCATGTATTTCTGCTGATACTCGTCTATTACAATGCTATTAAATAATTGTTGAAGTCATCTTTTTTCCTTTTCAGAAGAATTTGCAAGAATATAGGCTCTCATAAAGACTATGTGGTGACAAGGACCCTATAACATACAACAGACAACTCTGTTCCTTCCCTCTCTACACTGTTGTTACCTTGAAAGTATCCTCCCTCATAATGAAGTAGCTAATGAAACGTTATCATAATATTTTAGAAGACATACAGACCCCACCTACTGATTTTTATTTCCATGGACAATGTTTGCAACTAAGATGTATAGAGTAGGACTTTGGAGTCAAGGTGGGACCTTGGGAAATTCATTAAACATCCTTTTTAGGAAAAAATTATAATAGTAGATAATACATATTTCATAGGGTTATGTGAGGATTAGGCAAGATATTATAGAGCTGTATAGGTGCTAAATATTCATTTTTTCTCATTCCTTTCATTTTTTCTTTTAATGTTTGCCCGAGTACTTACTCTGTATCAGTCTTGGACTGACTACTCGGAGTGCTGCTTGAAGGGGAGAGAGCTTCTGAAGCATTATTGACTATGTACATGAATGGAGGTACCATATTTGCACCATATACATTCCCACTGTGAGGCACCACCAATGACTAGAAACCTGAATATATTAGAAGATCCCATACAAGCAACCTCAAAAAACACTAACAGTGACTACTTTTTAGTTGAAGGAAAAAAAATGTAGTAAATTGAAACCAGTATATATTTCATCAAATGGCAGAAGCCTAACTCTTCTTGGAATGTAACAGGAAACATTGATGAGGGAATTAGTAATGACAACTACTCAGGAAAGAATGACATTAATAAAGAAATAACTGAAGGGATTCATTGCTTGTCATCCATTAAAAAAGCTTTACTTCCAACATGGTTAAAAATGCCATCAATCAGCACAAGCCAAGGTATTCTCCTGAAGAGATGGGGAAGCTATTATGAGCTATGCACTACCTGATGGAGGGAAAAGTGAACCATTTCTTGAGCTTTGAAACAGTTTACAGAATCTTTGTGTATCACCATTGATGGCTAAATTTGCATTCCCAGAGAACCATGTTCATTGGTGATCAGTATTAGTAGGTCTTTGTAAAAGTTGTGGAGCCTCTTAGTGAAGCCTCTTCTGTTTTACCATAAAAGCTTGGGAATTAAAGAAAAGAAAAACATCCTTGCTGGTTCCTACTTGAGTAGACATGTAAGATAAATCTTAAAAAGAGCATTTGATCAAGAATTATTTTCATTAATTTAAAGAAAATTCATTTAATTTTTTGAAGCAACAGTAATGTGAAGTCCATGAGCATTCTTAAGATACAAGTTTTCCATAGAAAGGATGGCTCTCCAAATATCAGAATTTCAGGAATTTATAGAAGATCATCTACGTTTAAACAGAGCATAGTGTAATATCAAATCAACAAGATCTGTTTCATATGTACAAGTTTGGCAATTTGACAGAATTGGGCAATCATATGAGTGAAGTCAGTTAATTTACTGAAAAAAGATTAAAACAGTTACATCCATTGATTTTTTGAATTGCATAATTGTTTGACATGTCATCTTTTGTATCGTTCTTCTTGTAAATCTGATTTATAAGTGGTCCATATCCCTTCAGAGAAAAGGAAATATTCTAGAGAGAAAAAAGAAAGTCCACTTTAGTTATTTTTCAGTACAAGGGGGAAATTAAATCATGATTTAAGTTTGAAAAACTATAATTTTGGGAAGTATTTGCTTAGAAAATTGCAAATAATATTGAGATTCCGGAAGTTCAAACACTTCTTGTAATGTTTTAATTACATAGGGTAATTAAACCCCTTTGGACTAAAGTGGTTCCTTTTGATAATGCACAAAGGTAGTAAGTTTATGGCAGCTTCATCACTTTCCTTTTAACATTTAATTATCAGTAACTGATCAAATAAGAATGTGTTTTCACGGCTTACACAGAGTTTTTAAGATGGTACTTTTATTTGATCTCCTACAGGTCCCATGAGGGCCAATCTGGGCCTTCAGTGTCTGCTTTTTGGGACTTCATCACTCTCCAAACTACATCTAAGAGCTTATGCTCACCAAGTTCACTGACGGAGGTAAGACTCTCATAGGACCATCAGGCCCTCACTTCAGACTGTAAGTAAAACCGGCGCCTGGATGTTTTTGCACTCTAGACTTTGTACTCCCTCGTGTTTATATTGTTCAAGTATCTGGATATAATTAGTTGTTTCTGGAATGATTTATTTTTTCTCTTAGAAAGATAATATTTTACATTTCAAAATGACTATATAGCTAATTCTAAATATGCTTTTTTTATATTTAATTAATAAGTAGGTTGAGCTGTCTAAGAATAGATAGTAATGTTATTTTTTTCACCAAGGATTAGAAAAGCATATATGCGCCTGTTCTAACAAGCTATCTCAAAATCAACTTCTAACTGGTTATTTGACTTTGTTCTATTTTGGGGTTTGAGAGAGTTACTTGGAATTCCTCTTCCTCAGCTACAAATCCCAGATCAGTAATTTGATATTTATTAGAATTCATAGCCTTTCATGAATTGTTTGTATATGCTTGCTGTTTCCCTTCCCAAATAATAGTTCTTCGAGTTTCTTTTTGTACTCCGTATTTACTTAAATATGAATCCATATTCATATTTACAAAGTCAGGTGCCAAGATCGTAAAATAATTGAAGCTGGAAAAATACCATTTGAGAGATGTAAATGGTGTCTAAATTTCAGAGCAGAAGGGGGAATTTAGGCTGGGGATTAAGCCTCTTTTGTTATGGCAGAGACCAGTTTTGTGGGTTATTTTAACCAACTAGATATAAAAAGCAAGCATCTAATTCATGGCACTCAGGAAACCCAGAACTGGAGAGTAATTCAAATACAGATGCCTCAGACTGAAATGTTAAATTGGGTGTGTACTTATTAAGGGTGTGGTTTAGAAGAGCCCAATATATTTCCTCCTAAATACGGCTTTTGGCTAGCCTCTTCCTGAAAATTAATGTCTGTCATTGACAGATGGGTCTCTCTCTCTCTCTTTCTTTTTCCCCTCCACGTGTTTGTTCACTGATGATCCATAGACTGGAAACTTATGTAAACATAATCTTACAGTATATTGAAGATTGTGCAGAGGAACTGGTTGTGATGCTTTTCAAACTTTGGAAAACGTACCCTGACTACATTTGCGTGGCAGGTATTGGGCTGAGGTTTTAGAATGAGGGGGCAGGCATGCTACTCTTCTTTCTATGGCCGGGAACACAGGCACCTGAGTTCTCAGTAGGAAGGACATGGTCTGAAAGAACTTCAGTTGGGAAGAGATAGACGACTTCTATAATGTGTTAGCAGGTAAAATTCTGAGGAGAACTATTTGAGGGGTTAAAAAGAATAAGCGACTGCCTGTGAAGGGACTACTGAAGAGCTGCATTTTCTTTTCCTGCATTACGATGACCTTCCATTTGTCTATGGCTTCCACTGGTCTTAGCTGTGCTTTGGGTGTTGCAGGGCAGGCTTACATACTTGAGAAGAAGTGACCCAGAGAGTGTAACGGTGTCACATGCATGCATTCCTCAGCGAGTCCTCAGGGATGGGGGAAACCCAAACAAAGGATGGTGACTGAATTACTGTTACTTGTGTAAAAAGGAAGAGTGACTCCCAAAGGCTGGAGAAAATGGCACCATCTGGGTGAGATTAAGATTTGAGAAATGTGTAACCATCATTCTTATCACCATTGTCATCAACACTAATAATGCCTGAAATTTGTAGAGGACTTTTTTGAAAGTACTTTGCCCTAATATCATCTTACTTGCTTTTTATCTGAGACTTTTGAGTACAGAGTATTATTGGGAAATATTTTTTTTCACAAGGAACCAGTCTAATAATAAAATAAGACATCTCAATGTAACCATTTTGGAAAATTTCAGTACCCCAAAACTGCATATAACGAGAATAAGGTGTGTTAGTGAGTTTTCACTATATATACTTTTCTTTTACATTTATTACCTTCTTTATATTAATTTGCCCATACATAGGTACAAAATACATATACACATACATAAATACATATACATACAAAAATACATGCATACAGAATATACTACATTTATTTTTATATCTAATCCTCCTAACGACCCTAGGAACTCTAATAACCTTCATTGTACAGACATGGAAACAGAGGAATAAGTAGATCAAGTGACTTAACGCTGTGCTGGGGAGGGGGATTTGCATCCATTAAATTGCAGGGACTTCTTCTTTAGTCTCTGTGGGACATCAGTTTACTCATGCTCTCAAGGCATTTTCAGAAACAGTTCCCATGTATGAGGAGTTGGTTGAAAAATATTGAGATAATCTCTGATTTAAGTTGTATTGCAAGGGAAAACACTTCCCACTTGTTTTATATTCATCATATTTATAGTCACTAGGTATTTATAATATTTGTAAGTGGGGATACATTTAACTGCAATGTCATCTACTTTGAAAGTGTAATATATTTTTGTTACTTGGTTTAAAATTCATCACAGAAATCATTTTTCTCCCAATAAACATCTGAGTACATTAGCTTAAAAGATGTTATTGGTGAGCTGATAGTATGCATATTTCAGAAAGGTTGTTCAACTACATTTAATGTGCATTTGTGAGAAATAACTGTGTATTCATGGTCTCTAAGAAGGGCTAAGCTTGTTTATCTTTCTCTTCCTAACCAGTTAATTATTCCTTCTTTGCACACTGTCAGTCCCCTGACTTGAGGATGAAAAAAAAATCTTTTTTATAAACTAAGTTTTCTCATATGTAAACATCATCCTGGAAGTGAAAATAGAATTTAGTTTTTTTGGGTACAGACCTTTTGTTTCAAGTGAGACATTTGACTGAAGAGAGGAAAAAATATTACAGTTTATTGTGCTACTCTGCCTTGATTACATAATGGAAACTCATGTCATGATTGAAAAAGTCCTAAATATTAAGAGACATCATTTTATTCTTCAGGTGTTAGCAGTAAACACTGTTATAAGCTTTATGTATCTGTAGGGCTGACTTGGAAAGGGTCTGTAAATGCACCAGGGTTTATGCAGGTTTGGTAATTAAAGGAGCTTCAAGTGAGATATTTGACAGAAGAGAAGAAAAAATATTATAACTTTTTTGTACTGCTCTGCCTTGGTTGCATAATGGAAACCCACATCATGATTGAAAAAGTCCTAAATATTAATGGACATCATTTTTTGTTCAGGTGTTAACAGTAAACACTGTTATTATAAGCTTTGTTTACCTGTAGGGCTGACTTGGAAAGGGTTTGTAAATGCACCAGGAGTTTATGCAGGTTTTGTAATTAAAGGAGCAAGTAGGAAAAACCACAGAAAGGGCAAAAAGGATCAGGAGAAAGAGAAGCTGAATACGATGAATTACATGAGCAGACATTAAGATTAAATAAAATGGAACTTTCTTGATTTAAACTTATTGAGGAAATCAGAAATAACTGCTAGTTATATGACGTAATTGACCATGAAAATGTAGGTATGGAAAGCTGCTTATCCATTAAGAATGCACTAAATGACGTCTGTGATCCAGGTGCATGGGTACAGGAGGAGGCCAGGAATAATCAGGAAAGGTGAGTCAGTGCTACTTATGGTGCCGCCTGCTACCCTAAGGAAGGGAAGCCCGTGGTTGTAGGGTCTTTTGTTCAGTGAATGTATGTCTCCCATGAAAGAGTATTTAAGTCTTCCATATGTTAGTACTGAGCAGCCATCAAATGGATGGAACTAGAACAAAATAGGTTTAACAAGATAAGCAATAGGAACCTTTAGAAGCAGAGTGTTTTGAGGAGTAGAACCTGTTGCAGGAGAAGGAGCTTGAGGAATGATGTTCCAGGTTCTTAGAAAGGTGAAAACACTTTCTCAATGTGTACCTGGGAAAGCATCCCTATTAGAATCAACTGCAATGTTTGTTAAAAATGCTGATTCCCTGTACCCTACCTAGACTTACTGAAACAGAATTTCCAGGGGATGAGCCCAGGAACCTGCATGCATTTAAAAAAATCCTTCCAAATAATTTTTATACCCAGCTTATTAAAGTGTTGAAGTGAGAATAAGCTTCATATTAAAGGGTTTGAGGGTGGGAGGAATCCTTGTAGAATTCTGAGTGCGGTAGTAAATCTGTTGTAAGAGATAAACAAGTGGAAGATTCAGAGGGGAAAGTGTGTAGGACATTCTGAAGCCTTTAGACGTTTTAAAGAAGTAGGGGACTTTTTCATCAGTGGTGGCTTAGATCATTTTGAAAAGGATTCACTGCTACCCAGTTAGAGGAGGATTCAGGCAGGAAGGCCCAGGGGCTGCAGGTAGAAGAGGGCCTGTCACCTCTACAAGGTCCTGAGGGTTGGTGACAACTTCACTCCAAGAGGTCACAAAGATGTTAAGTGGCAGCTATGTGTAGTGACTGCATTCCTGGGCTTGTATTTCAAAAAATGTGAACGGGGTTTTGGTAGATCTCTTATATTTACCGAGGGCTACTCATTTCTGCTAAAGCAAGTGGAAATGTATCACACATCGGGATAAAAATCTCTGATACCACTCTCAGACATTTAACATTCTGGAATAACATTCCAGGATTGGCTGGATATGGTCCCCTGGTACTAGTGACACTTGCAGTTCTTCTGGTTGGTGATTGTGACACTGGAAGAGAATAAAACTATGAAAAGGAAACAGCACAAAATATGGATGACATTGAATGAAAAAAAGAATGTCTGGCAAGGTTTTAGCATATACTATGAAAGATATGTTTGAAAGAAGAATCATAAAACCTTATCTCTTGGCTTTAATCTAAAGTTTAATGGGTGGAAAGAAAAACTGCTAATAAAACTGCCATACACTATTGCAAGCAGAAGACAGAAAATGAGAGCCAGGTAAAGAAGGACCATTGGCAGGAAAAAAATTTGTAATTTTTAGATGGACATAACGGAGTTTTTCTGGTTCCAGGTAACTGTGTATTAAAAGCACACAGTACAAGTGATTACCAAAGCACTGAAAATTTTAATACAGGAATGCAAAATGTTGTGATAGGCATAGCTTGAGACTTCAGTTGAAACTCAACTAATATAAGATGGCATTAGAAAGGAATAATTTGATCGAAGATCCTAAATCTAATTAAAACAAAGAGGGAACACTTTTTTTTAGGAAATGGATAAATGACTCCTGATG